TCCTCAACAAATTAAAAATAGAACTACCATAAGGCTAGTATTCTCACTCCTGCATATATAGCCAGAGTGTGCCCTTCAGTGTGTGAATGGATAAAGAAATGTGATATATATATATCTATATATATAGATATATATATGAATATTATTTAGTCACAAAAAAGAAAGATTTCCTGCCACTTGCAACAACATAGATGAAATTGGAGGGGGGCATTATGCCAAGTGAAATTAGCCTGACAATAAAGACAAATACTGTATGATATCACTTACAGGTAGAATCTAAAATAACAAAAAGTTGATTTCATAGAAGCAGAGAATAAAATGATGGTCGTCAGGGCTGGTGGGGAGAGGAAATGGGGAGATGTTGGTCAAAGGTACAAACACTAATAAGATGCATAAGTTCTGAGGAGCTAAATGTACAGCATGATGACTAGAATTAATAAAAGACTGTATATTTGAAATGTACTAAAAGTAGGTCTTACATATTTTCACCACACTTACATAAGAGAGTTACATATGGAAGGTGATGGGTGTCTTAATTATCTTGATCTTTGTAATCATTTATTAATGTAAATATGCCTATCAAATCATGTTGTATACTTTAAATATATACAACTGTGTTTTTCAATAGTCCCTCAACAACGCCGGAAAAAAGAAAATTAGAAAAAAATAAAGTATGTATTATCTGAAATCTAAAAATAATTACAAGATCCCTTAGTAAACTTTTGTTCTCAAGATGAAGTGCATTCTGTGCAGCTGAGGGAGGACCACAGGAGGTGTCCCTGGGTGTTCAGGGCCTGACTGAAGGTGCCTCAGGCTTTCTTGCCCCTGCTTCTCAGTAGCAAAGTCAGCAAGGACTGGAACAGAATTCACACAGGTCACAGTGCAGCTGTGTTCAGGTGATGCTGAAAACAGGGAGATGAATTCATGGGCCTTATTCATGTGGGGAACCGCATGGCTCTCAGTTACAGCTAGTCACAATGATCGATTGAATGCACAATGCAAACTTACATGGCGGAAATAATTTAATAATTTGTTGCAGCAAATTAGAAGTTGGAATGAAAATGTGGTTATGGATGTTATAGTTGTACTCTAAATATAATCAATTTATGGTTAACAGAATAACTCAGATGAGCAATAATTGCTGGCTCCCACTCCTACGGTGTGTGACTGTGGGCAATGAATACAAGCCTCGCTTTCTAGCACATCTATACTAGAGAATAAGCAACAAGCCTCACTCTGTTGTCTGTCCTCTGTGTGTATGACAGAATGAGCAAGGAAGTGAGCTTCCCTACACTTATATGGGAGAGATGGGATGGAATGATGGGGTGAAATTACCAGGCTGGTATTAAGTTGGTATAAATATAAAATCCTGAGTTTCGGGTAAAAATTACAAAATGTTTACACATAATATGTAAACACACACACACACACACACACACACACACACACACACACACACATATATATAAGATACAGGGACATTCTATAAACAGACCTTGAGTTTTTAGTTTACCACAACTCAAAACTGGATTATCTTTCTGGAGACAGAATTGGGGAAGGTATTTGTGTGAGGAAAGGAAAAGATGGTTCTGACTGCAACAGCGACTGAGGAAGAGGGGAATGGATGACTTAGCTAGCTGAATAAAGTGGCATCAAGTCTCGGGGGTCACAAAGGCCAAGCTGAGCGTTTTTCCATCAGACCTGCGGACAACAGAGAAATGTTGCATAATATTGAGAATGCAGTGGCATGAAGGAAACGATTCAGGGCGGCAATTTCGAGGCCCTTAGGCTGGGTGAACTAATTTCTGAAAGCGGTCTAACTTTTGAAAGCAGTCCTTTTTGCAAAGCCTGCTGGGTCTGGAGGCCCCGCGCTCAGCCCTGAGTAGGCTCCGCCCCCGTGCCCGAGGAGTCAGGGAGTTGCCCCAATCCCGAGCCCTAATTAGGCCTAACCCCGCCCCTCCCGTCCCGCCCTCTCTGTATCCCTGGAGACGCTCCCGCGTCTGCTCTCCAGGCGCTGGCTGTACTTAGTCTCGCCACCACCGCGGGAAGTGAGGGCAGCACTGGCGCCCAGCACCTGCCACCGGTGGGGGACGTACTTCGGAGGAACGGAAAACCAGAGTTGTTCCCCAGGGCCAGTCCACTGAGGTTCGTGACGCTGGGACGAGGCTCGGGGCAGGACTTTCGAAGCTCCTACGGGAGGCGGGCTGTTCTTCCAGGCAGTGCCTTCCCTGACCTCCAAAGACCTCCCTTGTCAGTCTATAGACTGCCGCAAGCCTCCTCAGCCGAGGCCCTTCAAGAAATGATGGAAGTAGGCGCAGGGAAAGGCACTCTCCTCGTTCCCCAGTTCACCTGCCCCACTGTGAGGGCCGTGGAAAAATAAACAGACGTAGGAATAAATTATTAGCCCTGTTTAGAACTAGGTAGCAGCAGAAAGGAAACGGAGATGCCCTCGGTTTGGGTAAAGATAACTCCATCTCATAAGTTTGAGAAATCAAGTTGTTATTCCTAATGTCATGTGTATTGGAATATATTGAATACATATACATATTTCAGGTGTTTTGGCATTTCATTAAATTAGTGATTATTTCTCCCTTAGCGCCTATACGTTGGGATTTTTTTTTAAGTTCCTTTAAACGCATAGTAGGTACTTGATATTTGTTGTATGAATAAATCTTATTCCATGATATGGGGAGGGGAGAGGAGTTACTCTATTAACTAATTTTAAACTCTTTTTCTTCTCTCCTTTGCTATTATTTTTTGCTTCCTGATTTTCAGGCTGAAGTCTGTAAGCCTGGAAAGACCTTCAGCAGTCATCTCCCAATGTAAGTCAAATGAGTCATGGCCTGTCTTCACGTTTCCTGATTTATATTTTGATTTAGCCATCAATAAATGTCAATTGGTAGGACATGTGTTGGAGATCTACCTATTTTATAAAACAACTTATCTAATTATCTACCATGGAGTGCTAGAAGTGTCCAAAATTTTTGACAAGGATAAACAGTGACTCTAAACTTATTTATGTGAATTTTAAAAATTCTTTTCAGAAGCATAATTATACATATATATATATATTTCTTATGTAGTTTTCTTTCAACTTTCATAGTAAGAGAGCTTGTGGTGATTTTATGAAAAGTTCTAAATCTTACAAATGATTTTGTTGGTGGTTGTAAAACCATATTTATTTGGAACTCTCTTGATGACAAATAATAAATTTGCTTGCTGTGGTTTATTGGCTTTATTTCTCACATCTCAGCTTTTACTCCGAAGTGACTGAATTCTGGAGACAGTGGTCAGCCTCAGACACAGTCGCGCCCCACGTGGTAGCCTCTGTCTACACAGTGCTCCCCTTCCTTTGTGTTTCCTGATGAGGGTCTCTCTGGGGATAGTGGACAAGAGGGTTATCACTCTTTGAAGAATTTAACTTGAGGGCCAGAGATTGAAACTCACACCATGGGACGGTTCAGCCGGACCCAGCACTCTCAAACCTTTCATCCTGTATTTCTCCATTCTCATTTGTCTTTGCATGTGGGGGACAAATTTAGAGACTAAATACAACGGATACAAGAGCCAACCAGCAGATCAAAGAATCCACCAACCCTCTTCTGAATACCAGCAGTGGGAAGGCTTCAGGCAGCCCTTTGATCTTTGTCTCAGCCGGGTGGTGCCACGTGCAGCACCGCCCACTGGGTGGCACTGGGGGAGCCGCCTCTGGGTCCTCCTGACTGACGGCTTCGCCCTCAGCTCCTGGGGCTAAGCTCGTGTGGGTACCAACCAGAGAAGTACTTCTCCTCCTTCTCCCTTACTTGCCTGAGTCAGAATCACTGCCCTCCCTGCTGTTGCGCCCATCTTGTGTGAGTCCCCCTGCGGTCTTGAGCTTGGAGAACCCTGATGCAGCGACCGTGTTCAGATGTGCTCCATTTCCGCTTCAGGCCTCGGTTAGTCCCACTTCGCGTGGTTAGAGCTCACCTAGGAGCTAGGAACACTGTCTGGCCAGCACCAGGAAAATGAGGCAACGCACTTTAACACAGAGTAAAGGCTCGCTTCACTCTAGATGCATAATTTAAGCCTGAAATAACAGCCCCATCAGCATGCTTGCACTTCTTTTCTCACTTAGTTTCCCCTTGGCTGCTTGTATATGGTAGGATACAGCCACTTTCTCCTTAAGAAAATTCAGCATAAATAAGACTGAACTTATAAAAGAGCGAGTGATTTCTTAGAGAAGAAAATAACGTCGCAGAATCCCTTTAAATATTTGATGCATTTCAAATATTATGTGTGGAAAATTTCAGTACACACATTATCTATTGTGAAAAAGAAAATCCCCTGTCCCAACAGGCATAGGCAAGGCAGGGTGTGGGGTTCAGAGGAGAGAGAGAGCCTGCTCAACTTCTACCTGAACTCGGACTTTAAACTTTCCAGCATAGATTGGTTGAGGGATATTTTTCCCAACATGCAGTTTAATCACTTTTTTCCCACTTTATCATTCAGCTCTGACCACCTCCCATTCAGAGTTTGTGCCTTGAGGCTTGCCAGCAGGGCTTGCAATACTTACATTAAACTAAATTTAAGAGTAAAGGTGCTCCTGCTGCTAATGTTCTCAGATCAGAGGAAAGCAAAATGAAGGCACTGGCAGCTGAAACTTTAATGGTAGGCAACATAGAGTCAAGTTCTGGGAAAAAGAAACCACAGTTGATCTGTGTGACAAAGGAGATCTTTTCCTCTCTTTGTATAACATTTGCATTTCATTTCATTAAATGTTTATCTTTTCTAGCAAAAATAATCTAACCCAAGTAAACATCAAAAAAGATACATTGTCTATCACATACTGGTAGCCCAACTTTGCGGGGGTTAGGGGGTGCTTATATATGTCCTGATGGGATTTAGTGGCTGGATCAGAGCTTCTGGGGCCTGGTCCCACTGTTTCTAAGTACCCTGAGCTTCTTAGTATTTGGAACAATTACAAGTTCTGTTTCCTCATTTTGAAGCACAGTTATGCAGAGATTACCTCTGCCCCAATGCCCTTGGAAAGCAACGTGGGGCTCTTAGGACAGTTTTAATTCATAGGGAATGGAGCCCCAGCTAAAGTAGGGACAGTCACTGTTTTCTTCTCTCCCTTTCAAAATTCACCAGGGATAGACAGGTCGGGTGCTAAGAAACTGAGTTGGCCCAGGTGTTCTCTGTAACATCAGAGGTCTCTGAACACAGCCTTCACAGCTTCTACGAAATAGGTTCATGGGAGGTAGTTTTATGAAGCCTTCGGTGTCCCCTCAAAGCTGTATGTGAGGCCCATCGCTATGTTGGTCATAACTTCTCACCACGTATCCTACAGAATGTTGCCGTTTAGTAAGTTCTGGTGATCCAAGGAACTCAACTCGTTAATATAACATCTAATCCAAAAAATGGACTTTTTCAATTACAAAAGAATTAAATCACTATATTAGGAAGTTGGGAAGTGGCATCTGATTCTAATGTTTTGGGGAGAGAGGACTAACATTTGCTGTTTGGACCGTGTACCTTAAAACCAAAACTACATAAAAGTAGCTGGACATTGTGTTTCATGGATAAGATCATGCCCTGATAACCTGGGTAATAACAGGAATCAATTATGTCAAATACAAGACACTGATCTGCAGTAGGGTTTTCTCTTTAATTGTGTGAGAAATTATTTTCAGGCTGGGTAGCAGTCTATTTTTACAACGCAGGACTGCCTATTGCTACACTGAATTTGAAAAGATTTTTTCTCATCTTATTGCTCTTCCCCCCGCCCCACCACTCGCACCACCACCCCTGCTATGGCTTTTTGGCACAGAGGAACATTGCGTCTCGGCCAGCCACAGGCGGCTCCACCTCAGGCCTGACTGTGTCTTTCCACCTTCGCCTCTGCCTAAACCACCGTCTTTCACCGACATGTCACAGCGAGTTCTCAGCTGGCCTTTCTGCTGTCTGCCTTTCTTCCCCCTACAGTCTAGGTTGAAAAGAGAAGCTACAGTGATCCTTAAAAGGTAGAAGTCTGATTCTGTCACTCCTCTGCTCTAAACTCTCCAGCGAATTCCTTCCTCAATCGGAGTAAAAATCACAGTTTTACAATAACTTTCAAGACCCTATACCAGCAAAACACAAAATGGCTCCTAAATTCTTTGACTTTATCTGCCTTTGCTACTGGTGAGCATTTGGTTACTTTCTAGTTCCTTGCTTTATTTTTTGCTATACATCTTATCATCATCCTCATTGTGCCCGGTTCTAATTCCTTACCCACAAAAAATGTGAATGATAATAAAATGATGGTTGTTTAAACAATCTTTTTTTGAACCATTACATTTTGAAGTGATTTGTTACACTATTGTAGCTGTGTGTCTCTCATAGCAGCTGTCTCCTTGCTGAGAATCATTCTTAGCATCTATCACTTCTAAGGGATAGCCTTTATCTGTGAGTGATAAAGTTTTTTTAAAAAATAGCAAAATATGAGCAATTTTCAATTATTGATTATAAAAGGAAAGCAAAGCATGAGCATTTGAAATCTATAGCTGTCCTAAAAAGTCTTCACTTCTTAATTGCAACCATGTCTTTTAACAAAACTCATACCAATGCTCCTGATTATCTGTATTTTCAGCTCATTTATCAGATTCTCTCCTTCATGATAGAGATTCAGACAAGTAATAAATTGGCCAAAAGACAGATTGTAGAAGAAAATAATGAGAGAAGCAACCTGTAGAATCCACTCACTGAGCATCAGTCTTGAATAACAGAGCTTTAGCTCTACACACAGAGGCATTCTCAGCTCAGATGACAGACTGTGGATCGAATAATGTCTAAAAAAAAATTCTTTGAAAGATTTATTCTTTAAAATACCATTTCTCTCTTTCTCTCTGTGTCTCTCTTTTTTTTTTGTAGTCCAAAATGACCACCCTGCCCTCACTGCCCATGACACGCCCGAAGCTTGCGTCCTTAGCCAGACAGAAGCTGCCATGCTCCCCCAGTACAATTCCAAGGTATGTGACCCTGGTTTTCATTTCTTTTCCTATGGAATGGATTTCCTGCAGTAATCAATGTCAATAGCATGTCTCAGAAAAAAAGTTTGTTTAAAAACCAAAGTCTAATGTTATAGTCAGAATATTCAAATTTGCTGTTTCAAAAAGATTGATGGACCTCATTCAAATATTAAGACTATATTTGTTTAGCAAGCCAGGGCTCATTTGATCATTTTATTTCCTATTTCAGTTATATCATGGTTCCTATAAAGCTTTGCAGATGCAGTTCCTTTTAAAAATGTGTGTGGAGACCAGAAAGCAGAAGCTTTAGAAATGGACGGTGTATGGCTTCTAATCCACAAGGTCCCCAGTGCTGATTTCTGTTTCGGGGAAAGGAGGACATAGTCTCCTATTAGGGTAGATGTGCAGGCATGTTTAGGCCCTGAAATGACTCCAGGGTTGCAGATACACCGTCAGGCTGCTGCTGCCTGTGGAGGGCTTCAGAGCTCCTGGAGTTGTAGCTGAGAAGCTGCAGGACAGAAGACATGATGGATTTTGTCAGACTTCTCAATAGTAACTAAGATTGGGTTATTTAGTCATTGCATTTAGAGTTGTATTGGTTTTTAGTAATGTACATATTATTAATCAATATAAATAATTTGCATGGCTGGGTTCGATTATACTTTTTTTATATGCATACTTTTCAATTCCTTCAAGGCATCATGATGAAAATATTATGAGACTATTTTGTTCTGAAAAGAATCATACCTTCTTTTTAGTATTCCTGGGAAACACCACAGCCCCTGGACCAAAAGAAACACATTCAGCCAGACTACATAAAAGTTTTTTCTTTATAATTGCAAATCAAATGTTCTTTTCAAACAATTTGAAAAGCAAATTTTTCAATAGATGCATAATTATATATATATATATATATATATATACACACACACACACACACACACACACACATCTATATATATACATATATATAGAGAGAGAGTTATAGAAGTGTATATATTCCTCAATATATATACATACAATATATACACAATATATATACAATATACACACACACACATATAGAGAGAGAGGTATAACTGATATTATATTACTGATATATATGTATATGTATGTATATTTACTTTTGAACAATGAGAAATATTAGCAAAGACCCAAAAAGCTTATTCTTCTTATCTTTTTGAGATTACATAATTACATGAGATCAAATGGTTGAGGTTACATTTTCTTTTCAACATTTGCAAAAACAGCTAATCTCACATCCCTGAAATAAGATGGATTTTAAAGAAAACTTTTCTTGTATTCTATTAAAGAAAAGCATTTTTATCATAACCATTTTAGAAAAAGTTTTGTATCAACATTCTCCATTAGGTTCTGAGTAAAAACAGATATTTGTTTAGTTCCACACTCCCATTGTTATAAGATGTTAATGGTATGTTTATTTTTAAAGGTGCAAGGGGTGTGAAGAATGAACACACTACACATGTAATATATTTGTCAGTAAAGTCTTCACTTTGCACCTTGAACTTTTAATAATAATTTAAGTTTTATGTGTGATAAAAAAAAAAAACAGCATTTCAGAACAAAATTTGGTAATGTTTGGAGCAAATAAATTTTACACATTTGTATCCAATAAGTAGTCTTAGTTCAAGATTCTGTGCCAAACGAAGTTATACTGTGAAACATGAGTAAAATGAAAGCTCTTATAAGCTTTAAGGAGAAAGCGCCATGTATTTAAAAATGCAGATTATTTTAATGTGGTTGATGTTTTATTTGTTTGCGCACTAGGTTAAATGTTCTTCACTGTCTTTTCCCATTTGAGAAAATTAAAAATTTGAAATTATTAATCAATAACCTAACTCTCTAGCTATTGCCAAACATTTATTATATATAGTAATATACCCTGAATATTTCTGTTCTGGTGGCATTTTATGTTTGGTAGCTTTTCAACTTGATGAGGCAGTGCTTTCTTATTTCTTTCCATTTCATTTAGGTCTCAATTGATCAAAGAAAAAGATGGCATAGATCATTACCTGGAGGTGAATTTCAAAGGATTGTCAAAAGAGGAGGTTGCTGCGTAAGTATAACCTCTTAAAGGTACTTTAATATAAAGTTTATTTCTTTTGTCTTGATTCTTTATTGAAATTTCAATTTTCCTGTGCAGTATACCTTTCATTGGAACATGGCATTTAAAGATTAAAGCTCATATTAAATAGTGATAAGTCATGTCTATTGATCTTATACATATCAAAGTTTTTAATTTTATGGCTCTCAGAATTCTCGTATTTACCAAGATATGATACTATCACATTTGCAATATTTTAGTTGTCTGTGCCATTAATTGCTCATTAACCTCCATTTTAAGGTGTGTTGCCTCCATGAGGGAGAAAAGAACTCTAAGAGAAAAATTCATATATCTGTTATTTCTGGTGATTAAAAAAAAATTTCTTGCTGCTGTATCTTCTCCACACCCCCTAGAACCCACAAAAAGAATTAATGGATCATAGTTTTTTGGTTAATTTACAAAGAATTCTGAATTGTCTGTATTTATTTTTTAAATTTGCAATGTAAACTTTGACATTTTTCCACTAGTTAGAACCTAACTTATGGTGTGAGTAAAATCAGTATAATAAAAAATCCATGTAGGTTAGTGAGAAATGAATGGAAGCCTAGAATAATAGCTAAACAGGTTTAATATTTCTTACCTATAGACTTGTGACTCTGTTATCAGATATTTAGATGTAAGCATTGAAAAATGGAAATCTTATAATTATATCTTATGGAATTCATTAAATGATTCAATTAAGTTATTTTATGAAAAAAAATTTAAAGATTCAATTAGTATTGTCTATACTATGGGATTCCAAGGTAAAAATTATTCCTAATGATGTTTTTTATATAGGTTTTCATATAATCTAAAATTCTAAGCCTTGATAAATTTCATTTTATTAGATATAATTTTTGTCAATTTGCATATAACACTGAACAAGGGAATAGTTCATTCTGTCAGTAGATATTTTATTTTATAGAGTGACAAAATTTTATAGTATCTATAATCACTGTTTTCTTTGGAGCTCTCTAGACTGCCATGTGTCGTATATGGGACCTTTGCTTAAATGCTATTCCGATTGCTAATTTGTTAACTTTCCATCATAACCTGTTGGATGAAATTAAAAGTCAATATTATCTGATAATACAATTACTTCTTAAAAGAAAAATCTATATGTGTGATACTTGCATTCTGATTTAAATATAATGACATCCAAATGGCTGTTAATTGGCATAAGGATTAGGACTTAAATTTGGAATTAAATTTATTCTTCACATAATTTAACAAACTGGAAATACATATACTTAAAAGCTGCTAAGTTTTCAGTCTGTACTGAAGAAAACATTTATCTAAGACAATGCAAAATAGCCTATGCTGAGTATTCTCTTCATATTGTTTTTGGGTTTTTTTTACTAAGGAGATTACAAATTGATTTCAAATCTGTATTATGCTATAGAAAACAAGTAGCATTGGGTAATACTCAGTCCTTATTATTGCATTCTCCTTAAAGCTTCCTGCCCATGAATACTTTTTTTTTTAATTTAATTTCTTTTATTTTTTTAGCTGAGCCATCCTGCCACCTGTTGGCAGCTCAGTGGCAGCTCAGTTTGGGCCAGGAATTGAACCAGCGACCCTGTTTCTCAGAGCTCACACTCTTGAGGGAGCTCTGAACCAACTAAGCCACTTGGCCGGCCCTTGATGAATACTTTTTTAGACCAAAGCTTTTTCCCTAACAAAGTGGATGCAAACCTTAGTAAGAAGATAGTGTGTACTTAGCTCGCAATTACATTTTTAACTCCCAAAATTCAGCTGCCAGAGAGATGTTGGGAACAATTACATCATGACACTCTCCTGCTTAAAACCCTCCAAGAGCTTCCTAGTGCTCTTATGATAACTAACCTTCATCATAGCTTTTAACCTTAAAGCTATGTAGGATTTGGACTTTGCTGACCTCTCTGGCCTCAGCTCCCATTCTCCCACCACTCACTCCTCTCCGTGTGGCCTTATCGCTGACACTCCTTGTCATGCACATGTGACCTTCAGTGTGCACGACTCAGTCTGCCATTCCCTGTCCTCATAATTTAGCAGCCCTTACCCCACCCACACTTACTCCCCATCAGGTTGTCTGGGTCTATTTCTGCTGTCAGCTGCTCCCCATCTTGTGTTGGGAGTTTATATGTCAACTGTCTTTATCCCTCGCAGAGCGGACGCTGCCCAGGAACAGGAGTGGGTCTGTGTGTGTGCCACTGTATCCCCAGGGCCTAAACAGGTCCTGGCACATGGTCAGTGCTCAGTACCTCGATGATGAATGAATGAATGAATGAATGAATGAATGAATGAATGAGTGAGTGAAAGAACACATATAAGATTAACAAGACCATGAAGTAGGTGTCTGTCCTACTATGAATGTTCTTTAGTGACAACATTTTTAGTTCAATGTTGCATATAGCTAGTTTGATTATTGAATTGAGGAAGCTCATTTGACACTTACGATTGACTTTCTTAGGTAAGTCTTCAAATAGTTCATTGATAGTATTTAACCGATTTTTAACAACTAAAGAAGGTCATGTTGTGCTTCTGTACTTTTTTTATTCTGTATTATATTATCAGAATACATTATTGTTTTTTTTTAAAAGGACCCAAAGTGTCGCTTATTATCATATCATAATTGCTTTGAATAGCTAAGTAATAAAAGTTTCATTTCTTGATTCAAGTAAAAATTTCTGGGGGGCAGTTTTTCCATCTTTAGCTATGTATATGAGGATACAAAATAAGCAAAATCATCAAGGGACAGAGAATGTTAATCTGCTCAATATTATTTTCTGCTTCAGATATCAAGTTCTATTATGTGGAAGAATAGATTTAGTTCAAGATAGTGTGCATCTCTAAGAGATTGCTTTCTTGCAGAATATCTTTCGGCATCATTGGTTGATGTTCAGTGTATTACCTTGTCCGCACAGCAGCAATTAGTACTATCAGTTACCATATTCAATAACTTCAGGTTGTAAAGAAACAAAAAAAACATTTATTTTCTTATCTTTTAAAGCCTTTCTCTCCTGCCTCATTTTGAATTATACTTACTCATTTAAACGAAATTAACCTTTTGCCAGTCTTAGGTTTTCATCCCGAATTTGTTTCAAAATTGTCTTCCAAAGCTGCTTTTAAACTTGTTATAAGCAGATTTACACCTGGATTTGCACAATGGCCTAGCACTCAAAATATATATGGCGAGGTGAAGCTGTTCATTCAGGATATAATATAGCTATAATATTTCATAACTCTATGGGAATTTAGACCCCTGTAAGTATGTGATCTTTCCTCTGCTTCATTTATTTTATTTACTTTTGAATAATTTTGTAAAATCCTTTGCTTCTTCAAAACGTTTTGTTCTTTTGTAAAGTAATGTTAAATTCTGTATGGAGGTTTACAAAATAAATTTTCTGAAGAAGCCAGTTGCCAAATAAATGGCAACATGACTAACAGGAACAGGCAGGAAGAATGATGACTCCTTCTGAACTGGCCTGAGCAACTGGGGAATGTCTTATTCGCTGCTGAGTCTCTATTACCTATAACGGTATCTATCCATCCCGCACATAGCAGGCACTCAATTTTTTAAATTAAGGCCAACACCACCACAGCCTGTTTAATCTCTTCCATTTCCACATTGAAATTTATTCTTTGCCAAAATAATAATAATAATGACTAATATTTGTTGAGCACTTAACGGTACTATGTTTCAGGTACAGCTCTAAGTGCCTTATATGTATTAATTCATTTAATTGTAGAACAATCTTTGTTAGTTCCATTTACAGCTAAGGATATTGAAGCACAGAGATATTAAGTAACTTGCCCAAGGTCACACTGCTAATAAGCAGAAGAGCAGGAAGTTGAACGTGGGCAATCTGGTTCTAGAGCCTATTCTTTAACCATTGAACACCATTGTGTCTCTGCAGGTACTCAGGTCTTAATAAAACGATATTCTCTCTCAGCTCCCAGCTTTAGTGTGTTGCCATTCCCTTGGCCTAGAATGTTTTTCCCCTTTACCATTTCATGGCTAATTCTCACTCACTCTTAAATGGCTCGATTATATTAGGCAACCTTGCTAGTATAATACCTATTATAAAACCTACTAGAAACCCTGTCAGACCCAGAACACCTGCCATCATGGCATTTACAGCATTGCATTGTCATGGCTACTTTGCTTCCTCCACTGGACTACAGGCTTCAAGAGGGCAGGAGCCATGGCTGCTTTCGCACATGCGCATTTCAGTTCGCGTGCAGGGCCTGCTCACAGGGATTGAGGAGACCAATGAGTGGTGAACATTCACCCTTCATAGCCTCGTACCTGAGCCCTTCCTGACATGCCCTTCTCCTTCCCCCATGCCTTGTGTGTTTGCTCGGCTTTTATCTTCCGCTTCTGCCTAACTGCTTCTTGTTCATTGAGGCCTCCTCTGGCTCATCCTCACCCACGTGGCAGCGTTCCGCGCTCCGCTTGAACTCTCTTAATAGCCGCTGACGATCATATGCATATAGAGTTTATTCTTCTTGGTTAATATTTAACAAACTATATAGATGGTAACCCATTAACGGGTAGTGGTTATGACTCATCAGTTTGGGGATCGTGACCAGCATTTAAAAAATGACAGGGACTGTAGTAAAATAGAATAGAAAAGAGTGCTTTGCTGAGGCTGAATAATGGAGGCTACCAGGTGGCATGAAACAGAGCACAGGCCCTAAGCCAGACTCCCTGGACTCCAGCTTTACACTTACTAGCAAAGTCACTGGCTGCTTTTGGCCAAGTTAACGTTTCTGTGTCTCAGTTTCCTCATCTGAAATAAATAAATACATACATACATACATACATACATACATACATACATACATAAATACATACATAAAGATAATAGGGCCTGGCTCATGGAATGGTTATGAGAATGGAGTTAATATTTATGAAGAGATGAGAACAATTTGGGTAGCAGTGCTTTTAAGCTTGTGTTTCATATGTACACATGTGAAATATACATGTA